ATCAGATGGTCCTGACCGAGATGAAAAACCTCAGGGTTTAAAATGCTTGCAGATGAGTGACGTCACTGTTTCACTAAAGATTGTTATTTTCTTTGTATAAGTTATTCAGTTCTCTTTTGTCTTTCCCTTCTTCTGCCAATCAGCTGAGGCAGATAACTCCCCCGTACTGAGCCTGGAAGTGTTTCTTCTTTCCCTCCTTCGCCAATCGCTTCCTCGTAGAGGTGTCATGGTCCGTGGGAGCAGCTGAGGAGTTTTTGCTGTGGTCATTCTGTGGTCAGTTACAGGAAGACTATCTAAGCTACTCATTGCCAGTTCGTTCAGTCTACAGCCTACTTTGGTAACTGGGCCTCGTCTAGGCTCCGCTCTTCCCTCGTCCTGTCTTCGAATTTAACTCTGCTCCCTCGTGCACAGGTCTCCGTACCATCTCGCCCTGGACTCACCGGCTATTGTTCACTTCCTCCAGCGCTGGTTTCCTCGTTCCACCTCCGTCGTCAGCTCTCACTAAGGAAATCATCATCCAGTCACTTCACCTGCCTGTCATCCTGCCAGCCCTCACGCTCTTGGCAACTCAGGGAACCATTCCTCCCCCTGTACTGCCCCTGTCCCATGGAAACTCTCCCCACAGCTCTTCAGCCTGGCCCTGCATGTAAGCCAACAGCACCTTTGTCAGATTCTCCTTACTCACCTGCCAGTAACTGTTTCTCCCTGGTTATCTCGGGACAGCCCTCCTCATAAGCTGTCCCGTTACCTCCAGCTTCTGCTTCACTCTTCTTATCCTCGTAAATAAAGTCTTGTACATAGTTCTCAGCGAGTGCATGGCGTCTGCTTTTGGGTCCAGCTCTCATATGAACCTCATGACAAGAAGAGCATCTCTCTGGTATTGCACATTCTGATTTTTATTTGATTCATTTATTTATTTAATGCGGACTTTAGTTTGTACAGGAGATACAAAAATGAGTGATCACTTCCCTGATTCGGGGCTGAGAACCATGACCTCAGACTTGTGTTACAAAGTAACGCAAAAGTAAACAAATTATTTAAGCGTCTTCCCTTAAAACAATTTCAGTGACAAAAATATGAGTTAAAAATATGTCCATACAATCTTTAAAATTATAGAGCAAAAGTCTCCACAAAGATTTCCAGATTTCTCAGACTGGGTGATTTAAGAGTTGCTTCAATCACCACATTTCTTCTGTCAACTATCTAATATAAACATGATTTATATGACAGGATACAAGCCATGAACACTTGTGCATCTACACATTTTGCACACATGCACCTTGTAACACGCACTGATAATTTTAGAAAAGGCTGAAGAATCAACACAGTTTGCTCAGTGTCTCTATGTTCTTGCTTTACAACTGGAACAATCTGTTTTTCGAAGCAATGTTCTGGTATAAAATTCACCACAAGAGCTGCCTCTGATGTGCATCCAAGAGGATCTCATGTGATGCTTTCAAGACCACTCGATGATCTGTAGGCACCTCTTCACCCAGAGCGAACGGTCACCCAGTACACAATCCACCAGAGATGGAGAGATAAAACACGGCACAGAGAGAGATGAGGTCAAAGAAAAGCAAAAGGATGGTCCTCGTGAAGCTGACACAAAGCCGAAGCACCTCATATGTATTATGGCGATATTATTTAGCATTTCATTTGCATGTAAACATCATCAGAGCACTGTGTGTGTCAGGCCTCTCAGTGAAATACCTCTGAGTGCTCTTAGCATCTATTTGCTCCTGCTGTTGCTGTGAAAGAGGTTTTTAAAACACTGAGATTTGTGGGAGTCCTGCATGTTTGGGGCTCTGGGATCTGGTCCAGGCCAGGTGCGGAGCAGCTGTTATCCAGGGGTTAAAATCTCCACAGAGGGTCACAGGCGGCTTGGCTCATCCCCGAGCTACTCGCCGGCAACGAACGCCCACACAGCCTTCCAGAGCAGAGCATCTTTCCTCTCTGCTCAAAACCACCCACATCTCTCTATCTCTCTCTTTCGCTCCCTTTCGCTGTGTTTTTTTTTAACTCTCCCACTCTGTCTCCATCAAGCTCTCATCCCTCTATCCCCATTCTCCTCACTCACTGCTTACGGAAATGGCTGCTGCTCAGCATCAGCCATCAGATGTCAGGGAGGTGAGAGGCTGAGAGAGTGAAAAAAAAAATTACATTCACCAAAGGAGGCACTTCTGCTGTGCGGTGTTGTGACCACTACTGTTTGGTCCAGCACTTGTTGTAGTGTGTGTGTGTGTGTGTGTGTGTGTGTGTGTGTGTGTGTGTGTGTGTGTGTGTGTGTGTGTGTGTGTGTGTGTGTGTGTGTGTTTGTGGACCAAGAGTGCTAGTTGGCATGCTTTGCTCTGCACTGCCATCATGTGGTCAGTAAGAGCACAAATAAGAGCTCAGTTTCTCACTTAAATCTTGGCTGTTTGTTCACATACAGTTAGTTTGTGTCATTTTTTTCTGATTAAGATGTGAGGGACAAATTGTCTTGATTGAATTAAATGTGTTTATTCCTTAATAGTCAGTTTCTCCACATCTTTTTTGTGACAGCTGAAAATTTGGTCCCAACAGAACACGGAAATCGTTTCGTTCAACTCAATTCAATTAAAAAAACAAAACAAAAAAAACACAGAGCCAAATAACAACAAACAAGTCACTCCAGGGTGTTTTACATTGTAGGGTAAAGACCCTACAGTAATACAGAGAAAACCCCAACAATCAGAGAACCCCCATGAGCAAATAGTTGGCGACAGCGGGGAGGAAAAACTCCCCTTTAACGGAAAGACACCTCTAGCAGAACCAGGCTCAGGGAGGGCTGCGACCACTTGGGGGTGAGGAGGAAAAGTAACTAATGATTAAATGGTTGATGCACTGAGCACAGTTTTCATCCAATGCAGTCTTCGTGGCATTTATTTTACAAAAATGTTAGCTCACTTTCAAAACAGTAGACCTCATCTTACTATAATGATTGTAACGTCTGCATGTATGGCTGTTCAGTAATTCGTTTTATTTAATCAATCAGGGAGGGACTTACTATAAAAACTGCTCAGGATACCAGCAACATGTAGCTAATGCTACAATGGTACATTCGCTATGTAAGCTATAGCTAGCTTGCTAATTGTAGCTTTGTTCCCCGTTAATGTTACTGATAGCAAAATCATTCTAAATGGTAATGCTTGTAGACTTGTGTGATCAAAGAACTAACTTATTTAAGGTGTAAAACAATATTTATTTTACATAATTAATCAATTATTAGCACAAAGAAAATGAGTGCTGCTAGCTACAGTGATAGGTTAGCGCAGAGCTGGTCAGCCAGGTGTTTTATTAGATCCACAGCAAACCTCTATCATTATACTCAGGTATACATGTATATTTGGGCAACTCTAAACCATTTTTAGCACTAGCCTGTAAATATGTTTATTTCAGTGGTACTGCCATGTAAGTTTAACATCAGTCTTCCCCAAACTCACGTTGGGAGCCAAGGTCAAGTGGCTACAAAAGACACTGCATTTTTTCTTCTGCTTTGTCTTTATGTTGTTGCTGCATATGACAGGTAGCATATCAAACAACTCTTAAATTAACGTTTGTAACAAAATAATTCTATATAAGCAGCAATAATATGACATGATAGGAAAAGTGACTCTTGCTGAATATTTCTGCTGTGAAGTTTAAGCTTCATTAGCTTAAATGATATTACAATAAACACATTGTCCACAAAGAACTTATTTTAAGAGGCTGATAAGAGGACATACACTATGATTTGGAACATTAAGAGTGTAAATTTTATAAAAATTAGTAATAAAACATGTGCCTTGTTGTTAATTATCATTATCTTCAATTTAGAACAACACACTACAGAGATAAGTAACAACTGAAACAGCACGAGTAAATCAGAGCAAGCTCTGGTTTCAGTAACCACAGCTCCCAGTGGATAAAAACGGATTCTGCTCAGCTGACTGAGAGGCTTGTTTTTCTCTGTGATGACAAAACAGGGATTGAAATAATTACCAAATAATTGGATTTGGCTTCTTAAAATAGAAGGATCACAAGAGGAAATCCACGTGGAAAGGGATTTTTGTGTAACCAGGACTGAGCGCTCTTGACGTGTCTGTTTCTGATTTCGTATACTTTTTCCTATGTTGACATGCTAGAAAGAGCCATATCCACTTTCTGCTGGCCCTCGCATCCTCCACTGTTGTCTGGAGACGTCCTTATGGAAACAGCAGCTTTAAAAAGCTAGAAACCAGATACAACCAGAGGATTAGAGACCAGGAAAACGTTTGTTTTTTTTCTCAGAATACGAAGTGTCCTCCTTACCTCCTTAGGTTTGAGTGCCTGTTAACAGTTATGTCTTTAGGAAACTGATGTGTTACATGTGATACTTTGGAAAACAACTTTCATTGAGACAACCATCCAGAGTGTTGGTGGTTTGGATTGTTTTTGGGCAGATGGTTCCCTCTTCATCATCTCTCTAAGCTCCTCCAGCTTCCAGAGTATCAACACTCGATACAGGCAGCCGTAACAAGCTCTGGTTTCTATGGAGACACCACCTACACAGCCAGCAGTGGAGGCAACACAAATGTGTTCATGATGCCAATCTTCCCCCACCCGCCATCTCCTTCCAGTGTATTAAATGCTGCTGTTTCTTACTCTCCACATGGTGTCTGCCAGCAGGCTCTTTGGGCTCCACAGAGACTCTGCTGTACAGTTTTTCCTGTCTGAAGCCACAGGTCAGAGCCTCATCATCAGCTCAGCAGACTCGTTAGCTGCTGCAGTCGTTACATAACTCTGTTATTCTGAAGTCTGAGAAGTAATGCGTATCTTCTTCTGGAGTTGAAACCTTCCGGAGTTCAGAGTTTTTGTTTCTTTATGTGTTTGTTTACAGGTCAAACTGCACAGAGATGCTTTTATTAATCCAGTTTTATTTATACAGCGCCAAATCACAGTAACAGTCACCTCAAGGCGCTTTATATGTAAAATAAAGACCCTTCAATAATGTAAAGAAAACCCCAACAATCAGATGACTCACTTATGAGCAAGCATGGTCGACAGTGGGAACAAAAAACTCCCTTTTAACAGGAAGAAACCTCCTGCGGAGCCAGGCTCAAGGAGGGCCGGCCATCTGCAACCGGTTCGGGTTGAGGGGAGGGAGACACGACAAAAGACACTGTGAAAGAGCAGGAATGGGAATAGAGAACCGCTTCCTGGAATCTGAATCGTTAAATTCTTATAAATTTATGAAAGAGAGCCAGCGAGTCATAAAAAAGGACATTAAAAATTTAAAAAATACAACCTCCACATAACTGATGACACACACAGTGACCTGCAGTCAGTCTGTCCTGCACTCTCGTGTTGCACTGTTGCATGTACACTATGTCACACATCCTAAGAGAGAAGCGCTTATGCCAAACAGCAATATCCTGAGCTAAAACCAAAGCTAACGCAAAGAGACCTAAACTGTTGTTGAGGGTCCAAAACATGTTTACAGTCTTGTATAAAAAACGTTTTGGCTTCTATGAGTTGCAGAGTGTGTGAGTGTATCCTTTTGAATGCTGGTAAGGTGTAAAGTTAGGCTGCTTCAATTGACAGATGTGACGATTCAGGCAACTGTAGCTGTAACTGTGAGGAAAATGCATTTGTGGATTGAGCAACAGATTTGACTATGTGTTGGCTATGACTGATTTATTGGCTAAAAGGAGTAGTTCTGCCCATAAGATAGTATGCTTATATTAGCTGATGAAACACCCAACTAGCATTTGCATTCAGATAGGATTTTTCTACCAATAACTTCCCCTGAACAAATCTGCTATTGAAAAATCATAACATGAGCTGATAATAAGCTCAAAACTTCTCATATGATGTTATGCACCTATTGCTTGAGAGCTGTCTGCCATATCTGACATGATATAACCACCAACTGTATTATGTTGATGAATCTGAATCTGGCAATCTGCTACGACCAAAACAGTCGTATGGATGCTTTTGGTGTTTGATCCTGTTTGAGAATGACAGGCAGCAACCTCGAGGAACCAAATGCCAGCCAGTAGGGCTGATAGTGCTGTCACCGACTGGTCTCTACGTCTGCGTCTGTAGGGTTTTATTCACCAGACCCTACATCATCACTTCGATTGTCAAACCTCTAAAATTGATTATTTGTTTAATCTTAGATGGTTATCAGTCACATGACAGCAAAACCACATTGTGGGGATTGACTTGATTTAGGAACCAGCCTCAAGTGTTCAACTTTGTTCAGTGTTTTTGTGTCTTTAAAAGTGCATATATCCTGTTCAGAAACCCGTCTTTATTTTGATGTAATCCCAGAGTGACTGTGGTCAAATATTTGCATCAGTGTCTTGCTAGAAACCCAATTTCTCTCTAATACAGTTAAGTTTAGTTTGGGCACCGTGGAGGAGGATACAAAGTGTTTTTGCACAGCATTGTCTACACCAGACAGTACAAGGCAGCCCAAGTGAGGAAACACCTTCGACAAAGCGGCTTAATTTAGCTCCTCATCACAAAGGAGGAATGTGGGAACTCTGCAGGGCGCAGACAGGATAATTGTTTCACCGCTGCCTGGGCGTCAGAACAACATCGACACAGAAACAAACCATCAGCGAGCAGATGTTTTATAAGCTCTGCTGCTTCTTAGTCTAATAAACCAGGAATTTTTATTCCTCGGTCTGTGATTCGGTTTCACCTAAAACACCTACAGTATGTGTGCGATGGCTCAAATGTGGTCTTTGTTCTTGGAAACGTCACGTATTGTACATCAGGTGTACGGAGTCCCTAGTTTTTAATATCGTTTGGAAACAAACTAACCCAAAGGTTGACTCAGCTGCACTAAATTATGTTATAAATTTTTATCCTTGGCAACAGAAACTTAGACAAAATATTGTCACAAATTTTTTGTTTGGTTGTGCAACATGATTTAATCTCCCCCCCCTCCTGCCCTTTTGTTGATCTTTTTACCATCCGGGCTCCTATATCTTGGAAAAGGCTACAGCATCCACCATCCTACAACAAAAATACTTTTCTTTGGACTTCCTGGTTCATCTCCAACTTTCCTTCATGATTAAAGCTTAGAGTTCAGGTTACACTGAACCATCCTTTAGTTATTCTCCTTGTCCAGAGTGCATGCCAGTAACTTTTATCTTCCGTTTTCAGTATTTTAAGGAGCTTGGAAAAAAAAGCGACTGGACATCTTTAAGTTTCTTGAAGACGTTTCATCTGAGAAGCTTCTTCAGTTCTAAGACCAAACGGTGAAGAGTCCCAGATTTTAAATCCTGGTTGGAGTTATCCCTTCAGTCTTCAGTAGTTGGCAGTCTTTCTCTGAGAATAGTTCTGTTCAGGACGTTCTTCCTCTCCACTGTTGCCATGTGTTTGCTGAAAGAACCATCTTGGTCTTTAATTATTGAAGCATTTTAAGGATACCACTGTCCAGACTGGGAACTGTATAATTAAAGTTGGAGTGGTTTAAATAACTTTAACCTTATCAAATACTTTTTGATAAGGTTAAGGTTGCATGCTAATTTCTGACCGACTTCATATTATTAGCTCTCTGTAATACAGTGCCCTTCAGAACCTCATTTAGTGTCACGGTGCATTCAGTTTTGTGGTTTCTGTTTCTTATCAGGGTTTGATTGGTGTGCCACAGCCTGACCCAACATCTCTGTACAAGAGGCAAAAACACCAGTGGCTGGGCCGCGGTTACCTGAACACTTTTTTGGCACAAGTGTCAGTTGTTTCCTTCCAGAGGATTTCAGTCCTAGAGTGCAGAAGACTGCTTTATAAGAGAGTTCTGGTGACGTAAAAGCTTTTCTAATATGATGTTGTGTGCATAATTTGGTTTTCCACTGTTATACTAACCTTACCGGTTTGTTCCTTTGGAAAATGTGCATGTGAGGATGGCTCAGACACATACTGTAAACCAAATACCCCCAAATAAAGTAACCTGAACCAACGTTTTCTGATGGATTTTTTCGTTTCTGTAGATTTTGCTTCCAAGGAACAGTTTTCGAATGAAGTCTAACGTCTAATTTCTTTTAATTTTTTTGTTTTGAGTGGTCTTCCGTAATTGTTCTTCAGGCTTTCTGAAGGTCTTTCAAAGATTTGGCTACTTTTCACTCATCTTCAGTCCAGTCCTTGTACCTGATCATTTTCAGGAGTTGTCCTGTTAAGCCACTTAACAGTAAACTATGAATTATTCAAGGACTAAGGGATTGAGACAAAAGTCAACATCCCCCCCAAACCTTTTGGGTTTGATAGACATAAAAATAGTATTTTCACCAACAAGGTGATTTCTGAAGTCCACAGCAAACAGCATACTCCGACATCTGTGTATAGCACGTCCTTAAAGATAGAAAATTGAGGAAACGGGACAAGTGGAAGACTGAAGAAGAATTAATAGGTCTAGAGAGATGATGAAGTCAGGAGAGGTGCAAAAGTCAGTGTTTGTTCTAGCTCTCCTGACAGCTGTCTGTAAAACATGGAGGCTCTGTCATGGTTTGGGACTATATTTCAGTCAGTGGTGTTGGAGATTTGTCAAAACTGATGGAATTATGAACCCAGAGATCTGTCAGACTTTCATCCACATTTTTAGGCTTAAAAATAGAGCTGCCCCAATGACCCCAAACCCACTGAAAATGCAGTGAAAGTGTACTTGGATAGAAAAAAGGAAAACAAAAGCATAGTAGAACACCATCAGTCATTGATTGGTTTCCAGAGCCTGGACCTCCATTACTGAAGCAGTGTGGGATCATCCTTAGAACGGAACAAAAGGCAGCCGACATCCAAAGAGGCTGAATGTCAGTGAAGCCTGGAGAGCTATTCCTTATGAGTACTTAAATTACAAGGAAGCTGTCTGAAAGAGTTGTGGTGCTGTGAAGAATTAATTTGGTCAAATGAACAACTTGATTTTTGTCTTATATTGTTTTTCAATGGATGTTGGAACCTATTTCCCCGTTTTCTTAACATAAAAACAACAAAAAAGGAGGGGTGGCTCAAGACTTATGAGGTCACCAACTGAGCACTAATATGTTAGAGAACATGATAAACATGCTTTTCTCACCAGCTGACATATTTAAAGATGTTCCAATGCTGCCCCCTGGTGGAGGAGTGGAACTATAACCACACTGTTTACCATTTACTGAAAGGGGAAAAGAACCACACACACTATATAGATGCACCACGGAAGCAAAAGATAAGGGGGGGAAAAAAAAGGACGTTAAATTAATTTATTTAAAAAAAAAAAAAAAAATCAAAAAAAACCCCAAAAAGCATTTCTCCACTGAAGCAGAACAAACATTTGTTTCCTTTTACTGTTGGTTGAAACATGTACAATCAGGAAGAAAAAAAATAAAAAATAAAAAGGAAAAAGACTCGCTGGGTCGCCAGAACAGAGCAAAAGTTAATTAAGCAAAAGGGGGGGTTGGGCGGGTTAGCCAACACCACAACGTCAACACAGCCGAGAAGGACCAGGAGGAGGAGGAGGAGGAGGAGGAGGAAGAGGTGTGAGGAGAAACAGAAAACAAAAAACAAAAGGGAAAATAAAACACGAACATTCAATTAAGTGCAGGTCTGGTTGGGACAAAGCAGTCTTTTTTTTTTTCCTCTTCAATTTACATTTAACAACATCTGTTGTCGGACACATGCAAGGTCAACATCTGGAACTACACAAGGAGATTTCATATGCTTATATCGGTTATCTGTGCACGTATTAAAATATGTAGGCGTAACGAAGCAATTTCATACGGATATGTCAGAACGAGGGAAATAAAGTTCATGAAAAAAAGTTACTGTTTCACTGAACAGAAAAAAAACAAAAAACAAAAAACAAAAAAAGAACAAAACCGAAAGTGAGATTTCTATCTTGGTTACCGAAATGTCACCGACCTCACCGTTTTGTACGCTTCCTTTAAATTATTTCTCTTCTAGGTAAGTGAAAACACAGTTTAAAAAAACAAAACAAAAACAAAGACCCTACGCTCCACATTTTGAACAACAAAATACTGCATATCTACGTACAGCTGCGATTAAGGAAGGTCAGTATCATGAGAGGCTAGCTGCCAGAGTTTCAGGAATATTGGCTCCGAGTTGATCCCTTTCTGAAAGTCTAATTTAAATTCATTTTTTAAATCTAACCACTGAATGCTCATCGCGCTCGCCGCTTGGTTGGTTGGTCACGTCACGCTTCCCGACGGGTCAGTGGGGAGAGATGTTCTCTGTTGGCTGCCGGAGTCTCCGATCCGCTCTGAGGTAGACGCGGCAGAAAGGCAGCATCCAGCCTGAGCCGAGTCAGGGCCTCTCCTAGTGGGATCACTTGAGGTCAAAGGTCAGCTCTTAAGTGTTAATTGTTGTTAAGGCTTCCTGTGGTCTCGCTTCAGTCACTCTCCAGTTTCAGGGGCTCAGGGGGGTGGGACACCTACAAGTTCACCTTTGTCCCGTTCCTATATTTTCTTCTCAACCCACATTCCAGTCTTTAAAGGGGCAGACAATTTTTTTTTAGTTAATCTTTGATGGTGTAAAACAAGATTATCCAAAATGAAAAGGAACAGAATCTTCTCCGTTTGGCACCTCGGGCGGCTGTGGTAGGAGGAGGAGAAACAAAACTAACAACGAGGACGAGAGAGAGAGAGAGAAACTGTGGATTAGGAGGGGGAGCGAGTGGTGGTGGCGGCGCGCTGCGTGTGGAAACAAACTAGTTGGGTTGGCTGCCTTGGTCGTTAGCTGCCGACGAGACTGAATCTGGTGCGCCGGCCGGGGCAGGCTCTTCTTCAGACTTGCTGCGCTTGGCTTCCGGCTGCTCGGCAGGCTGGTCCCCGTTCTGCCGCTTGGTGGGGAGGGAGGCCGAGGCGGAGGCGTGGGCCGCCAGCAAGTGGAGGGGGCTTGCCACAGCTGAGGCTGTTTGGGGGAAACAAGCAGGAAGACGAGGGTTAAAAGAGGAAACACTTCACTGTTGAGCTGTGGTTCAATAACATCTAGAAGCAGAAGGCCTGTGGGATGTGTGGTTTGGATCAGCTGCCACAAGTGAGCACACCAAAAACCTTTTCAGATCCAGAGGAGGCAGAAAAATTCTCTGTGGCGACGCTGCTGCTGCTGGATCTCGTGTTTAACTTCAATTTGTGTGGTTTGTTCAAAATAGTTCTCATTTATTAGCCTTTGTGAAAGCCAGCCCACTTCCCCCTCCCCTGAAGCAAGCTTTATTCTGATTGGAGGCCTCACTAGGGATCTCTCCCTCTAGATGCTGTGGTCGTGTTTATAAAGATGATTTAACAGGTTTCAGTAAAATAAGCGTTAGTTTATTTTTTATTTTGTCCTCTAACATCCAGATGTCAAAATCCAGAAGGAAAAGAATAGTTGCTTAAATGTCCAGTGGCTATTTTGGCACATTACACCAAAAGCAACAAGAGAGCATGCTTGTTTCTAAGCTTCATACCCCATACACCACCAGACGTAAAAGCAATAATGTCTCAGTTCCATCTAAGCATCTAAAACATCTCGACTTGAACCAGCCTTGATGTCCCTGCTAAGTGTTCCTGCGTCTCACCTGAGCTGGAGGGTCCCTGGATGGCAGTGGTGATGCTATGGGTGCCATTCTGTGTGATGGCCTTAACAGGCAGCTGGTGTTGACCCATGGGGGCCTGCTGAACTATGGTAACAGTCTGCAGGGGGGTGGCTGCTTGGGAGCTCTGGATGATCCGACTGGAGGGACCTATAGAGGTGATGGTAGGAACCGTCTCTACTTTGACTGAGGATGAGGAACACAAACACAAACACCGGCTTTAGTGGTGGAAACTCATCACAAGTGTTAGAATGAGGTATGAGCAGGGCTCAGTCAGTGTAGTGACACCAAACAAACACAGAGTGCAAGCGATCAGATCTGCTGAGGCGCTCGGTGTTTGGGGTACAGCAAACAGCGAGATGTTTTCAGAACAACACCGAGGTGACTTTCATGAAGCTGTGCCAAATCCTGGGGCTTCCCCTCAACCTGTAACACTTCCTTTACCTTTCTTAACATGACACGTTTGATCATGTGACTTCAAACAACTGTCAAAGTTAAAAAAAGGCAGAATCTCAGATTAGACCGTCACATTTTTGAGAAATTTTCTAATCAGATCACTTGATCCGATTAGAAAGTTGATGCATTCAAAAATACTGCGACCATGAATGGCAGCAGCAGCTGAATGACTGGTTAAAAAGCTGCTGCTTTTAACCAAGTGAAACTTTGGAAGACGTGAAGTCTGGTTCAAGAAATATTGTCACAGAAAATAAATACAAGATTGTTGAATTTCCAAGCTTCTGGTTGACATGCTAAACTCTTTAGCTCCTGGAAGCAGACTAGGAGTAACCCTTGAAGTTGAGTTTGTCACATATCAGACGTGCTTATAGAACAACACGAGTGTGTTTGCATCAGAGGTCAGTGATGGTGGTCTCTGCAGCTACTCATGGAAAAACCCAGAAACTACTGAGGTATCAAAACTCGCGGGGCTCAAATGTCTTCCTGTGGAAAGAGTTAGTCTTTTAAACTTGATTCTGCTACTAACTCCTTTAATTTCCTGTCATTTTATTATGATTACTCATTTTGTTGCACAGTACAAGTCTGTGTAGAGACTTAAACTTTACCTGCTTCCATCGCAGGTTAATGCAAATCTTCCTTTACTTTAGATTCTCTTGTCATTGATTGACTGTGTTGCACAACTAGCCAAGATGAACAAACAGATGGACACTTTGCCATGACATGAGCTCAATCCTTTGACTGGATGAGCTAAAAATGAAAGCGCGTGTTAGAAACTGCTGGAACTGGATCAACATGAAATCAGAGCCTTTAGCTGTTGATAATGAGATAACCCTGCAGATTAAAGGGTCTCAAATTAAACACAACTTCATGAACCGTCTAAATATTGGTCGCTTATATTAGTCCATCATATTTTTAATCATGACTTTGTTTCCGAGTTGTGGAAGAATAAAAGTTTAAGAGCAAAGCCACTAAATTATCCAGCCTATTAATTAGTTAAAAAGATTCAATGTGGCTAATCACGGTGACCCTCGGCATCTTCGGGCCCACAGGGCACAGTGGGGTGTCCCCTGTTGTAGGAATGCTACAAGCTAGTAAAAATGGCGCCCATGTCTTGTTTGAAGTCTGGCACCTCCTTCGCTGCTCAGCTTTTCATTATAGGTCAATATTTCGCCAAAATCTTCTTTAAATTAGTAATAAATTAACAACAGTTATTACTACTGATGAAGGAAATCTTTATTTTACATGGTTAGGAGGAAAATCTCTCTTCGGGAAACCATCCCCAAGTCTTGGATTAAGGTAATATTGTGTAATATGGTGAAGAATTGAAGCAGGGTTAGAAGCCAAACATTTCACTCTGACAAAATTCAAAGCCAAAACACTCCTTGTAGAGAATTTAATGCCCTAGCTGCTGGCTCACCTTTGACCTCCGTGTGCTCTCCATTCTCCTGCGTCTCGCTCTTGATGATGGTGGCTGGCTGGGCGATGACAGTGGCGGGGCTGAGCGACCCTGCGGGGATCTGCTGCAGGACGTGGACAGTCTGGACAGTGGGCTGGGAGGTGCTGGTGCTCACTGGGGAGGCCATGGTGTAAGTCACTGGCTTGATGGTTTGAGGTAACTGACGCTGGACTGCTATGAGTACCGGCTGGTTGTTAACAGGCGAGCCTGGCACAGCAAAAAATCGAGGTGCACAGAAGTTTTAACACATTGAACAAGAAACAGAAAAGAGTCGCGCAGTCAGTATGTGTGGCGCAAAGTGTCGTCTCACACCTGGTGTGTTTTGTGCAAAGCGTGCTTCCTTGATCACTGCCAGTTTGGGCTGGACTGCTGTGGTGGACACTGGGGTGGGAGCAGAGGAAGTCTCCAGCTCCAGGGGAACTGGGGAGCCCTCTCGGGAAAGGCTGTCAGGGGTCTGGACACCGCTGGAGTGCGCAGAGAGCACCCCTGAGTGATTGGGAGATGCCGGGGCACTCCTGAGAGTCAGAAGGAGTTGTTGGAATGAGAAAAATCACACCATGTCCGCTAAAATGTACCATTAAATTTGTCACGGGAGGACGCAGCCAAACCTGGAAGAGAGGGGTCCATGTGGGGTCCTGAAGCAGGGGACGCCCCGCGGCCTTCGTTTCCTGAAGGCCTGCTCGATGAGCTTGGCCTCCGAGGACGGGTCTATCCTCCAGAATGAACCTTTGCCGGGCTCCTCCTGCGACCGTGCCACTTTGATAAAATAACGGTTCAGAGACAGATTGTGACGGATCGAGTTCTGCAACAGAGAACAGTCTCGAGTTACTTATTGATGACTGAGGTCACGTGTGTGACCGCGTCTGAGGAATCTGTACACTGAGGCAAAGAAACACACCTGCCAGCCCTTATCTGCCGTCCTGTAGTAAGGATAGTTCTTTGTGATGTGATTGTAAATTCCATTTAGTGTGAGCTGCTTGTCCGGAGCCAGCGTTATGGCCTGGACTATCAGCTGTGCATAGGAGTACGGAGGTTTGGAGTCGTCCTGTGGGGAAGGGACAGGACGCAGATTTAGACACCAGAGCAAATTACCTGTGCAGCGCACATGAAGCAAGCTTTCAACAGACATGAATACATAACACTGCTGGTTCTCCTAAAGTGACTGTCATTCAGACATGCGCCACTTTTCCCACAGCGACGGAGCGTCGTGATAGATTTCAGCTCCGATGCTGAAGGTATGCAAGAAACTAGACTAGAGACAGCTGCAGGCTGCAAAATAACCTCAGCTGCTGGTAATGTTTGACAAAAGCCCTGAGGAGGAGGAGGAGGAGGAGGAGGAGGAGGAGAGAAAGAAGAAGGAGGAGAAAAGGAGACAAATGCTTCAATCTCATTAATCTGACCGTCACAGCGTCTTCATCTTAATTTCCATCTTTACATTCATGTTTGCTTCTTTTACAGCAGCGGCTTTAAAAGCTGTAAATTAAAAGCTCGTCACCATTTAGTGCCGCTGAGATGACCAAAAGAGAATCTTTGGTCACAAGTTAAACTCATCAGGTGTTAATAGGTGAACCTGTAGAAGGACCGTTAATGGCTGCCAGCAGCTGCCTTTATCACTCTCACCATCTGCTTTCAGAGGCATGCAACAGTTGGTTGTTGGCTTCAAGTCTAACGGTTGATCCCGTGGGGGCATCCGCAGAGAGCCTGCAGGCCAGCACGAACTGTGCATCGCAGGTTATACACTCACATACTAATTCAGGGTCGAACCAGGAGGCATTCAGATGCCATCAGGTTAATAAAAAGGTTGTTTCAAGCTGTTTCACTATAAATCACCACACATCACACATACACAAGTCGGAGAACATCAATAATAATTTGCATTTTGAGTTAAAGGATTATAATTTTATATTTCAAGAACCATATTCATGCCCTATTGCATGTTATCCATAAAAGATATCTAGCAAGGAATGAGTTACATAGTCTGAAGTGAAGTGTGACGCAGGAAAGTGAAATAAGTGATTAAATGTTGGAGCAAGGCTGAAGTTTGGAGCGGGCTGGGAATTCTCACCTTGGGACTGTCCCCTCCAGAGGCCTCTTTATCGTTCTCAGGCTGGGAGTTGTCGTTTATGAGCTGCAGTTCTGCAGAGCTCACCATGCGACCACCCATCCTGTAGCCTGAGGAGCCCGCACCCCGAGGGCTGGAGGGGCAGGAATTAGCAGCACTGCAGCAACAAAACAAAAGAGGACAGTCAGCTGCCAGGAGATTTTATGCTGAAGCATAAACAGCCAACATTATGTTTGGATTAAACCTCAACATAAGCGCCTGGTATTTTTCAGAAATGGTGTCACTACATTCGCTGGCTCTGCTCATCCGCAGTCTTTGCTGCAGTGACACGCTTTCCGACGACATCTATGCAAATCGCTCTACCACCCAGATCGCACGGGAACACTGCAATCACCACAATCAGGCCTAAAGCAGCGCAGCTTTAAAACCTTAATCAAGTCTAATTATCTGGTGAACAGTGTGAAAAACCAGGGGGCGAACAGGCCTAATGTAAAGGATGATTTGCATATTTCATGTCTGGTTCTGGAGATGCGGGTGCACCAAACAAAAATGCACTGCCTCACGACCCCTGCATATACAGCACCTGCTGCCTCGAGCGTCGGCCTAAATGTTTGTTTCTTAACAGCAGACCACTCTAATGTTTACATTTTACAGATGGCGTACATGTCAGAAGAAAGCAGCCATCTGGCTGAGAGGATCTGAGTGTGAGATGGATCCGCTTTCCTCTCCGAGCCCTGTGGCTGGAGGACTAAGCTTAAGCTGATCAATATACAGTGAACATGTCGAGGTCAGCTGACCTTAAGGTAAACTAAGGCAGCGTGGGAGAGCGTCCTATAACCCTGTGCACTGATCCAGGATCAGCCACTAATGTAATCTTCAGTTAAATTGACTGAATATTGATTTTTGCTTATTAAAATAATTCTTGTACATACAAACATACAAGTTTGTTTACACGTAAGAGAGTTTGTCCCAGTTTTAACTCTTTTCCATCGTTGCCTGTGTCGGGTCAACTCAGTTTTTTTAAAAACACATTTTTTGAATTCTCCCACATTTAAATTCAGGGTTCTCTTATTAACACGCCTCTCTCCTGCATAAATCTATGCAATATGCACTCTGGTTAAATACCCAGCATTCACCTGTGAGGCACATTAGAATTTGCATATTTAAGCCATTTAAAAAAAAAAAAAAATTCAGACTTCAATCCCACATCTACTGCTGAATACATCATTTCCAGTAATGAATACCTAATGGTGCCAGTAGGCGATGGCAGAGGGCTCATTAGGTGAGCAATGTTTTCTGGAATGTTGATGGTCAGCGGGGAGATCTGGGGCTGCACTGGCTTCACGGGGGACTCGGGCGCCTCTCGCTTCACTTTCTTCCCGCTGGACAGGGCCGTAAATGCGATCTTGATGTTTGTGCTGGGGAACCTGAACGTGCACCTGCAAAACAGGGAACCCACAGAATTTTAAAAACTCAGCAGCTGTCAATGAAAACTGTAATTCAAGGTGACATGAACCTCTGACATTCTTGGTTTAGAGGTTTGTGAGGTATTATACAGCGCTCAAACTCATTTACACATAAAGCACGCCAACGTCTGTCAATGAACAGAAGTTTTAACTGCACATTGAATCGCACAGATCACAACATAAGAAGAAGCACAATTACAACAGTAAGTCTTCAATATTTTCAAATTCTTTTACAAACATGATTGGGAAATGTTGCTGTAGCAAATGAAAGAAATCTGTCAATGCGATTCCTTAAATTGTAAGAAATAAGTAGAAAAAAAGAAAAAGAAACTTTCTGTCATTTAACGATTCATCTGTTGCTCAATGACTTTGATGCAGCACGAACAGCCACACGCCATGAAGCCATGACGCTCCCAGCACAGTTTTTGTGCCGATGCCGGCGGAGGATTGGCGCTCTGCGCTTATAGAGTCAGAGTGCTGGTGGAGTTGCGTTGGTCCTCAGACATTCCACGATCAACTCTGAGTTTTATTGTTGCAAAGAGAAAAAATTTAAGAGTGAAGAAATTTAACAGACTTGTTGCAACAGCAGCATCCTATTGCAGTACCACACTCAAATTCAGCAAACTCTTTAGCGTGACCCCGTCTTTCACAAAGGTTTGTACAGGCAGACTGCACAGCTGAGTGTGTGATTGTATACATGATGCAGCAGCAGGAGTTCAAAGATTCAGACAGGTGTGGTCCAGAGGTTGTGAATTTTAGACTGGCGGATATAGGAGATCTAAAGAAATCCCAACAGCTGTGGATCTCACAGCTGTTTACTCATTTTCAGATTTTTTATTTTAAACTACAGGATAAACAGAAATACTGAGTGTTGGTTTACATAAACAGTTACACAACGTATACAAAACTGCATATGAAGAACAAGAGGGACTAATGTTATAGAGTGCTGCTGGAACAGGAAAGGAATGAGCGTGTCATTGACCCTCAAACTGTCTGGGGGGGAAAAAAGAAGTTGTGGGTGTGAGAGTTGACAACAATGAATGGGCTGAGATCCTCCGAGAACTCTGAGGATACGCCTTACACAGCCATACAGTGACTATCATGAAAATCACAGTTTGCACAGCACACACGAAAGCCTGCTTCATAAAACAAAACTAAATATTGGACGGGTAATTATTAATTAAAATCCCAGCAGTTATAGCTCAGGAAGTTATTTAAGACCGTCACATCAGCCACATGTAATATGCAAACAGTGTGGGACTTAATTCACTCATCTGTTTTATCCAGCTTCCTTGCAGCCTTCATTTATTTTCCCAGATTGCCTTCCAACTCGCTGCAGGAAATGCAGAAATTGTTGTTGGTGCATCGTCAAATGAGGAAGTGTTCAATCGACTGTGGTCTCTTCGATTCAAGGTTAGATCTGCTACATGTTCCGTTTTTCTCTTAGTGAACGAGGTTATCGCTGCTCTTTTCATTATTACAAAAATACATATATAATAACAACGTTGCTTTTGCTGATGGTCCAGTCCATGGGAATCAAAGGCTGCCAATTCCTTTGATCGTGGCAGCGGGGCTTTTACACACCTCAAAAAACTAATACAAATACAAACAGTTACACCAGTTATCCAGAACTGATAAAGACATGGCATCAATACAATCTTTTCAACATCCGTCCCTATACTGCTGAACATCATCCGAGGAGTAATCAGGTGTTTTGGGAAACCGTTCAGTGTTCAACAAAAGACTGAAGTTTTATTATTGAAACTGTGGTATCACAGTTAGGCTCTCTTGCTGTTGGTTCATTCAGTCTTTATCTAGCTCAGGAGTGGCACCTGCAGTAGATCCCATTTTTTATAATAACGTATTAAATTTTGTCCAATTCATTTCAGCCCATCACAAACACACACCTGCCTGGTTAATGCAACAAGAGTAATGTATTCAGATGTATTTAGTGCTTAAGATTACAAGTCACATTTAAACCATACATTAACTTACATCAATGGCCAACAGCCTCACCAGTCGCCTAATAGGCACGTCTTCGATACATGAGGGAAATCTCTATAGGTAAGGTCCCAGCCATGGAAAACCACTGTGTTGCTCAACTCTGTTATTGATGCTTAAAAGTTGGTTCTGAACTAGATGCACCAACTGGACATTACCAAATCTCAACATATGTACAAGAAATCCCAATGAGACCCAAACGGCTCCCAGTCAGACAGCTCTGTGAGCACAGAAGCCCCACTCACCCACTGTTCAAATCTTTTTTCGAGGGGCAGCTTAATCACAAGCGAGTGATTAAAAAGAGGAGCTAAAACAAGCCGTTTCAGTCGGCGGATGAACCGCAGGCCTCACCGAGGCCCAGGATTACCTCAGTTTCACCAACCGGCTGGCTGTTGCCTAGCACCTGCATTGAAAATTTTTCATTTGTGATTTGTAGCAGCTATGAAGGACGAAAGAAGAAGAAAAGACAATTTCACTGACACAGAAATTGGAAAATAAGGGAAGTAAGACTAAGAACACACTGGATGGGAAGCGGTCCGACACTCTGTCAGGAAATAAATACACCATTAAGCTGCGCTCTGACTGAAAACAATGCAGCCACCTAAGCAAGGCAAAGACAGACAAATATAAAACCTTGCAGTTACTATTTATGCAATCTATGAACGTGAAGTTATGACTGACGCTCAAGTTCGTGCAAAAAAAAAAAAAAAAAAAAATCTTAGAAACTAAGATTTCAAGTGGATGTTTTTAATGAAACGATTCTGGATTTGACAGCAGCTTCACGGCTGCCGTACACGAGAGGAGATGAAGGGAAAGAGTCGAGGAGGAGGTCTCGCAGCAGTCACAGTCTGATTAGAAAGAACTCTTCTAAATGGCTGCCTGACGCCCTGGAGACCGTGCAGGGACACATTTTACTTAGCTGAAGTCTGCCAGGCACAGCAGGGTTTTTTCTGCCAGGCCCTCACTGAGCTGGCATCTGCTGAGAGAACTCTATCCTCGACACCTACATCTCAAATTAGCTTTGTCGCTAACAGGAGGAGACTGAAACACTTTTTGGAGCCTGGCTGGTGAGGTGAGGGGGGACGCTTTGATTATTCATGCACCCTTTCCAGGAAGGGTTGTGCCTTCCCTGTAGATCTGTTAAAGATATAGAAGATCCTTAAATAAACATCAGACACTTTCAGCGAGTAGCAACTGACAGGGTGGGAACAATGAAAGCTAAATATATCAGTAAATCATAAAATCTTAAAAATAATTTGGTTGCTTTGTCTTCGCTGCACACCATCCTGCTGTCAATGAACACTGCTGCATTTTGAAATATATATGATACTTATTCTGCTTTCTATACTGCACAGGTAGGCCATTAATCAGCTGGTTAATCAACGGTCAGAAAGTAGCAGTAGTATAGAAGGAAACCATTTTGATAATTTAACAAATGTCTTAATTTACAGTGGGAGTATTTTTAAGGTACTGTTTGACCAAAGTTCAATTCAATTTGATGATATTTACAGCACAAAATTCCAACAACATCAGCTCAGTGGGTTATATTGTGAGGTAAAGACCCTGCAATAACACAGAGAAAACCCCAACAATCAAATGACTCCCTATGAGCAAGCACTTAGCGACAGTGGGAAGGAAAAACTCCCTTTTAACAGGAAGAATCATCTGGCACAGCGAGACTCAGGGAGGGGCGGTCATCTCCCGCGACCAGTTGGGGGGTGAAGTTAAGCAAACATGTTAAGGACGTCTTGAAGCCTCTAACCAAGCAACCAGTGTTTGTTGTTAATAATCGCGGTGCACAACTTTAAAAGTGTAGCAGTAGAAAAACTAGCAACACGCAGCTAGCGTACATGGCACGTGTCGGGAAAGTTTGTCACATAATTTATGCAGCAGCAAGGAATCTAAGTTGTAGCCCGAAACTCCTTTTAACCCTACGCTGTAATTTCCACGCAACAATAACTTAACAGTTGTGATGTAAGGTTACGAGGACCTGGTAACAACAAGTTGGGACAGATTTCCCGCAGAAGTGTAAATCCAGCCGGACTCTGAACTTTGACCTAGTTCCACAGCACTAACATTGACCACATAACAACAGGTTTCCATGGCGCTATAACAGCATTTATACATTAATGGAACCATTAATGTTTTTTTCCCCCCTGTCATACATTGAGACTGCTCCAGTTGTGGCTGCTAACAGAAATTGCCGCCAATGTCAATGTGCTTACTATTTGTTGGAGCCAAAAATGAACTTTTGTCCTACTTTTAGCTCTGTATGATGTTAGTGAGGGTTATCACTAATATGATGACAGCTCTGGCTGCCCGACTCGAAACCCCCACCTACCTGCTGTTCATATTTTTTGCTTGCTAAGGGTAACCAATCTGATGAAAGTTGGCTTACGAGGAATTTAAGTTCGGTTGCTATCCGTTAGCAGTCGGGGGATGGGCCGTCTACCTGCAGAGATGGAGGCAGCGAGCAAAGTATGTGGAACAACCAGTCGGTGGGCCTCTCGTACTTGTGCTGTTGTTGGTCCATCAGCCAGCCGTGGAGAAGAGCGAAGCTACTGTATAAAAAAATAAAAGAGCTGAATTTCAAATGTTCACTGCAGCCACTGTCTGTGCTTTTCATTCTGTATTTTTTGATCTCGGAAACTTCCGCCCCACAGTCCTCCCATTCCCTTCCCCTTCCTGCCCACATGTCAACCAATTAGCATTCAACAGACGCATTTATCATCAGCTTCCAGCGACGTGCAGTGAAGATTCTGAAGTGCACTGAATGAACCCAGACGCTGTACAAGGTATGTAAGGACTGTGGTGACAGGGGCTACTTCACTCTTGATCCACAAGTAAAATTACAGAGTTTCAAAAAAGGATGAACGCAGGCCACAAACACTATGCTGAGAGGATTTAACACATCGTCACATTTACCAGACAAACTGCTGCCAGTCACAGACACAGTAGTGACATAAACTTTAAGGACCAGCGGGTAAGTTTCAAATATGTTCCGAAGAATTTTAGGTAATGAACAAAAACGTTAACATCCAATCAGAATCAATCTGTCATTTCTGCTCATGACTAAATAAACAGATTAGAAAAATATCAAACATTTCTGTGTTGTTTGAAATGATCAGAGGTGGCCTAATTTCAGAGGTAACAAAATGACATTGTTTGCAAGACACAAAGTAACAAGTGCTAATCACCTCGGCTACTCTAATATCCATTTTCACAGTCTGAATGAGGCTCAGAGAGGGGAAAGCTGTTTACGGTATCCAACACCCCCCTCCTAACATGCAATCACAGAAGCCTTTTTATTTCTCATTTTCCTCTGTGTGAATAATGAGGCTTCAACTCCAAATGCTCAGTTGCTACGCTGCTAAGCTGTGAGGACGGCAACAAACAAAGCTGGTTTCGCTGAAGACTTTCGCTTGATGTTCACCCCCACCCAGCCTGCACAAGAGAATGTAAACAAAAGAAGACAGGAAGAGCACCAACTTGGAGTGAATTTTGGGGTGTGGGAGAGGACAGGGAAGGGGGAGGGAGGATGGGAAAGGGAAGGCTGTTGCTTTTTTGTTCACTCCGTTTACATCACCAAAAAGGAATCCCTGGAATACAACCGACCTGTCCCCTGAGCCGCGGCTCTACGAGTTCTCTCATGCTGTCAATCTGCTTCCTCAGCTACACCCGTCGTATCGTGGGCAGCGAGGCTCTTTTAAGGGTCTTCTGTGACATGAAGGTTACTTTTAAAACACGTGAGCACGAGCTCGGTGGTGTTCCATTCATGGAAGTCGCATTAACCGCGATTATAAGCTCACAGTTGGCCTGATCAATATGAGAATTTGACACCCCTGCTGTTCCTTCCTTGATCCTTGTAGGCCTTTTACATTTGGGAATGCACTGATCTTTGTATGCTGCCGAAAAAGAGCAGTGCAGAAATGTATTCAGCTTTCAAACACATGCCTGCAGAAAAGATTTTTCTGCAAAAGGACAATTTGGAAATTGCTTCAAGTCAAAACAAGTCCGTGTTGTGTAAAACGTGTTTTCATATTGAGATATTGCACAATAGCTGAGAGCAGTGTGCAAAGTCTGACCAGAGCTGGCAGAAGTTTGCAGGCTTGTCGACATTGCAGTGAATAAACTGTAAACACTTTCTGGCACGCTTAAATCCCAGATAACTGCTTTGGCAAAATGGAAACCAGGAGGTTTTTTTTTCCTCTTTAAACCGAATCACACGCAAAAGGCTGACTGAATACTTTCTGTTCAAGGAAAAATATGTATCGTTGTTTTCCCTCTCTTCTTCTTACAAGGCTGAAATTACACCCAAAATAAAATCACACTAAAAGTTCTTTAGTCTTGTATTTTCTGATCATTTCATTTTGACATTTTGTTTTAAATTCGCTTTAGTTTCAGTTGCTTTCCAGACTGGGTTTACTCAATTCAGTCTAGTTTTTATTGTTTAAAACTGATTTGTTTTAGTTTTGGTTGTAATTTTATCTAATTATGTTTTTTACTGACTATAGTATGGATGGTATTCAGCACAGGTAAGGTTTGGAAAAATCTGGGTTGAATACAATACACTAAAAACGGCACATTTTTAAGACATTTTACAAACTTGCAATTTTTAAAATTAAAAATTAATACTCTACATATAGTTTTCAAAGTTTACCAAATTGTTTTAGAGATTTACATATATTATTGTATAGAAATTTTAAAGAGGGTGTCCAGCAACAAATATTTATGTTGAAGGTGAGTTTCGGATAGTAATTAAAATATTGCTTATTTTAATTGTTGGGTCTCTTCACAGATCAGAAACGTTTCGAGGTGATGTCTTCAAATACTTCATTTCTAAAATCCATATATATTTTAGATTTCATTCATCAGTAGAAAAAAAATGTAAATAAAGTAAATAATCACATGACAAAATAAAGTGACACCATTATGAAAACCGAATCAGTACAAATGAAGGAATGATCGTTAAAACTAGCACATTTTGGGAACTGGCCAATTAAATTAAACAATAAATGACTTTTTTTTTTTTTAAACCATAACTGAGCATTTAAAACATTGATTTACTGGTATGGCTATTTCCTGGTCAGGGCTGGTTTTTGGCATACATATTTCAATATTTGGCATTTAAAAAAAAGAAAGGAAAAACAGACAGTTGTCCCCAATCCGGGCTGGTCAGCAGTGTAGCTCCTACAACTCTGTCAGAATGAGTACATGTCACGGGTAAAAAGCCCGGAGCCCAGAATAGCACATTCAGCAGAGCTGTGCTCAAAGGTAAGGTAGCAGTTATCAATGAAGTTGCAATAGACATCACAATGTGACCATGCAGCTCCACAACCACGCTCCTTTTGAACAGCTTCCCCATTACACTGAAATCCAGAATAATGAACTTTCCTGCAGTAACATTTGGTGAAGGCTGGGCTCCACCTATGATTTGGAGGCCAGCCTATCCTACCATTTCTATATTAGTAGACTGAAGGCAATATTATTTTTAAGCTTGCTATATTACTTTTATATAATTTTTTTGAGGAGTGGTTTAACTGGAAATGTGTATCGAGTCCTTATACCAGTTATCAGTTTCCATAATTACTAATAATTCATAGCCAATTCACCAGTTCTGAAAATGCCAAATCAGTACCCCCAAAAAATAATGCCTTAAAATTTTTTACCTATAAGTGTGTCTGTATAAACAACATGGGCTACATTCATACAGGGATTTACCGGAACAAAGAAACAAAACTGAAGTACCAATCAGACCTGTCCCCGGTCTGGCTGATAGAGTATTTCACAAGAAAACAACGTCATCAAGCCTAATAGTTAAACAATGGCGAGAAGCAGGCTACAACCTGCAACTCGGAAACCAGCCTCTCAGGACATCAACGTATGTCAGAAAAGACGTGAATTTCGTGTTTAACAGTTGGATGGCACACACAGCTGTCATGACCTCCATATGTGCGGACCGAGGTCAAAGGTCCTGCAGGTTGAGCTGCTGTGAGCAGACAGGGAGGGGACGCCAGGTTTGTTTACGTTTAGGGGTCAAACAGAAGCTCCATTCACAAGTACAGGGAGGCTACAGCTAACCGCTAACTAACGTGTTGACATGGCCGAAATGACGGATGTTTACAGTATCACGAGAATGCATTTCTCGCTTAAGGGTGTCCACGTGACAGAAAGAGAAAAAAACACTACCATTCAATGTCAACAACAGCGTCCCCGTAGCTACGAGTTAAGTTGATTATTTTTTAGCTAACTAGGTTAACTAACTAACTATGGCTGAAATGTGGTAGTTAGGCAGGCGGCTAAATAACACTGCTGCTAACAAAAATGTCAACAAAGAAAAATGGCATTGGGAACAGGATGCGGGGTTCTTGCTAACATGCTAAAACACGTGGTGCTGTCGACTCCACTGCTAGCCTACATAAACCCAATGTTGTTAACTTTAGCCGCCTGGCTGCTGGAGATGGGAGCCCACATGTTCACTGAGAGGGGTAACTTACATTCGTGGTAGCTGCAGAGGAGGGGCGCCCCGTCTGAGGAACACTCCGTCTACAAACACCCCGTTTTTACCCAGACATTTCAGGTAAAAATCTCCGGTGCTGTCGTCGGTGAATATCTCCAGATGCCTCCGCGAGATGAAGCTGGAGTGGCCCATGCTCACGTCCACGGAGCCCTGCGACGAGTTCCGGCCGATGGTCACAGAGCGCTTTTTCATCATGTATTCGAATTCACGGCCCTCGAGCCGGGCAACCGGCCCAGACGATCCGCTCACCACAGCCATGTTCGGGTTAAAGTCTCTAAACGCCAAAAATACCAGGGGGCAACTAAAGCACTGGAGTACGGACGCCCGACTGTGGTCCTTCAGAGGCGCGTGTAAATAAAGCAAAACTACAAGAGGGGCATCAAATTCAAAACAGGAATCTAAAGGGGAACATGCGAGGCCAGGGACAGCGGCTCCGACCCACCGCCGAGAGAAAGGCTAGCTACCAAATCGAGCAAGGGGAGGATATGGCTTTACTGACAGCGCTAAAAGCCAATCACGAGCAGGGAAGCTGGTGCGGTTCCGCGTCTCCGACCAATCATACGCGAGAATTAATCCGAGGACCGATTCAAGGTCGGTTGAGGGGCCCATATGGCTGGGTGGAGAGCTGCAAGCTGCGGGGGGACGAAAAACGAGCAAAGGAGCGGATCGATGGGTCTACACGTGCAATCAGTCGCAGCAATCACTCCCTCTACCGATGATCTATAATCTGCGAGTGTGCGTCGATATAATCGATTAATCGAGGATCCAGGGCGAGAATCTGACGCTTATATTGTGGGAGTTTGAAGGATTTAGCTCGGCACGGTCTGCGAGCGGTATCAGCGCAAAGCCACCATGCGCCGTTTCTCTTCCTCCTCCACTACAGAATCCACGCCTGGTTTTGCGCAACGCTTCCTTTGCAGCATCTTGTTACTTTGTAATATGAGGTTAGATATATTTTTAAGTGATTATAGTTACGCTCTGTAATCAGTACACACATCTGGCGGCCATCACAGACAGGCAGACCTCATTTTGGTTTGCTGGAGCTTTGTAGCCCCGCGCTGTAACGGTCTGCAGGTGAATGACCCCTCCATCTGCATGCCACTTGTTTGTAAACAGTGGCTGGCACAGGCGCGCACGAGACTAGTCAATGTCTCTGTCAGACATCTGATCAGGTGCGAAGTGATAATTAGGTGTTAACAGCCTGTGGGTGCATCCACGAGGTAAAGCCAAGGTTAGTTAACATATCAATGGTTTGAATACACAGTTGGTCAGAGTGTTGGGAAAGTTTAACAAAAGGAAAATGCTGGAATCTGCAGCAGTTTAAGCAAACAGATGATCGAGAATGAAGGAGAAAAAGCTTGGAAATCCACGTTTATGCAGTAATAAAGATTCAGTTTTATTTTGTGGACTTGATAATATAGCCTTTAGTCCCGGATGGCATATCACAGAACATCAGGAGGCTAAAGTAAACTTTGGGTCGTTCACTTTGGGGGTTGCTTGAGACAAAATTACAGCTGTTGTACTTGTGTGGTGCTGTACGCTTGGGTCCACCCTTCGTTTTCCCAATGCTTTGTCTATTTTTTTAAAAATTGAAATATAGCACCAAATGCCAACATCAGTTGCATCAATTATGTTTTTTTCCCCTTTGTTGTTGTTGTTTATTTTGCAATGTAATCTGTACTTGTACGTTAAAACCTTCTATGTTCTTGCTCTTCTTTCGGCTGTGTTCTTTAGGGGTTCTCACAGCAGATCATCTGCCTCCATCTCACCCTATTCACACCATCCTCCTCTGTCACATCAGCCCTCTCCTTCACTCCACGAATCTCCTCTGTGATCTTTTCCTCTTGCCTGGATGCTCATCATAATTTCTCCCTTTATGAGGTTTGATAGATTTGTTATATATCAATGAAAAAAAAAAACGAAAGCAACACTGAAACCAGTATGAATCGCAGCACTAAAGTTGCAGCCACCAATGCTACGTAAAATAAGCCCTGCACCGGCCCCCAGACAATTACAACCTGACCCGCTGTCTTTCAGAAAGAAAATTGTAGAAGAAAATCAGTAGCAGCATTATGTTAAACAGTCTCAAAGCAGTCTGTGACTGCAGTGAGTCAGAACTGCTTTTTAACTCAATTCCAGTCAGTCAGACTCAGATCCAGCTGTCACGCCTCACTTCCAGTTTCAAAAACACCAACACAGCAACAGCAAAAGTGCTCAGCAACAGGGTTCCTCCACAAACCAGTGGGTGACATCCAAGTGGCTACATCCATCTTTCAGACTGTCAATGGGCCAAGCATGGGGACACCTGTCACACCTGTGAGTATGCAAGGGTCTGTTTAACATCATTTTCATTACTGTACTGAGTGAGAGGGCCCGTGTAGATGTTTGCATGCCTTCCTGTTTTTTGTGACTGAGTCTTTGGGTGTTTTCACACCTATAGTTTGTTTACTCTGGTCCAAATCAGTCGATGATTTCTTTTTAATTTGTAGCTTTTCCTCCTGTGGTGTGGTTTGTTTTCACACAGAGAAAAATGGAATTGAACTCCAAGTGAACCGACATGCATCACCGCAGACCACATTTGAGTATTCAGTCTGCTGATTGGCCAGATGTGTCTGGGACAGGAGTAACAAAAGTAAAAACAGGAAGAAGGTGTTGTCTTCTGGACTATTGGAGAAAACTGAGAATTTCTGTTAATTTCACAGCTAGTTGCTAGACTGTACAGATCTTTACACATCTATAGTACCTTACCGTATCCCACATTATCCCAAACTGACACATACGCACATCTGAACTCCGCAGTTGTGCAAACATCCTTACATTACGATGCACCAGCTACATGTGCCCAGATGGCTAACTTCATGAAGATTTCAAAGAAATATAAAACTTTAATTATACTCAGGTTTGGACATGGAGAGAAACTGCTAGAGACACAATGGCCAAGTAAAAACTGATGTAGTCATTGTGACTTGTAACAGATTTATGGAAAATACCATCAAGGCTTAGCTTCATCATCCACATTTGAGTTATAAAAAATAATCTTCCTTATAGTGTTTATCAAGAGCAACCTATCCATAAAGGACAGATATTTTGTATCATGCTGTAAACATATTTGTTTGTGCTGTAAAGCTGAACATTTTAATATGGAAGTCTGAGGGGTCTGACTCACTGCTATAGCAGCCTCATGTGGCCAAAAGAGGAACTGCGGTTTTTTGTTGCCGCTTGCTTAAAAGAGGTAAAAGGAGTAGAAATAAAATGAAATAATAGTAAAGATTAAGTAGACATAAAAAAGATAAAAATAAATAAATAAAAAGGACCATTTAGACCATGCAGGAACTAGACAAATGAAAGAGTAAACGGGGGTGGCTTTAATTTGGTTTTAAACACCGATACCTCTGGAAACATCTAAATGGCTCTGGTGAAATTCTAAAATGTACAGGACAGATATAAAGATATTTAAACAGGAACAGGAGGTTTGTTGAAAACATATACTTTAGAGGTTCTCACTGGTTATTTCCAACAGGTTGGAGATTGATATCCACATAAAATACTATGCTTTTGTACACTTGGAAGGGTAATGCATTTGCCTTGACTGAAAGTTACTCAGGGTCAATTCCTTCTTGTTTTTAAATGTCCAAAACAAAGAAAAGCAACCTTTTTAAATAAACCTCAAAAATAAATAAAGGCTCACCTGTTGGTTTATTCCAGTGTACACGTTATACATGCGCACCTGCCACTTTGTTAGGGCGTGGCATGGTTTATGGTGTCAGACAGACTGGTCTGAGTAGTTTAGAAACTGTTGAACATTTAATGGTTTGTGGAAATATTCAATGAGTGGCAGTTCTTTGAGAAAAATGCCTTGCTGATGCCAGATGTCTGAGGAAAATGTCTGCTTTGAGCTGATATGAAGCTCAACAGTAACTGAAATAATCACTAGTTACCACCAAAGTTTACAGAAAAGCGTACTGGAAAATGTAAATCTCAATTTCAGCTGTGAGATTTAAATAGTAAGTTCATAATTTGGCGTAAACAGCATGACAGCATGGGTCCATTCTGCCTTGTGTCATTTGTTCAGGTGGTTGTTGTTGTGATGCGTCGGGGGTATTTTCATGGTACATCTTGGGCCCCTTTACTTACTTCATAACCACGCTGATGGCTCCTTCCAGCAGGACAACACACCAGGTCACAAAGCTTAAGTCAAACTGGTTTCTTGAACATGACGATGAGTTCACTGTACTCAAATAGCCTCCATGCTCACCAGATCTCGATGAAACAGAGCGCTGTAGGGATGCGATGGAACGGGAGATTCACATCAGAGATCGCAGCTGGCAAATCTGCAGGAACAGTGTGATGGTGGTTGAATCTATGCCACGAAGAATCAAAGCAATCCAGAGAGTAAAGTAAAAATGGGGTCCAACCCAGACCTAGCAGGGTGTACGTAACAGTAAAATCAGATGTAAAATTAATTTTATAAAATGGTTTTACTGAGATAATTTTGTACAAATGCAATGACGCAAACACAAGAAATGATTTTTATTTTTATTTAACTATATATTGATTAAAGACATAATCAGCTGTAATTTTACAGTATAGTTAATGTAAATTTCCACCTTTTAAGTGTAATAACTCAAACAGTTTGATTTATAGGCTGTATTTCACCTCATAAACACAAATATTATTTCCACAGATTTAATAGAGAGAATAGTTTGGCCAGTTCACTGCACTCAACTGTAAGTAGAATCAAAATAAATACAGGGTCACTTTCTCTCCAAAAACGAGGTCATGTGGTTTCATTTCTTCTTCCTTTTCCGTTCTGCAGTAGTGTCAACAATATTCCAACCAGGGACATAAACCTTACTGACCACTGGGGGGAGACATACACCTTCCCTGGTGCTGAAACGATGACATCATGAAGCCAACAGCCATTTTAAGCTGTTAGGCTGGAGAAGTAGAAATAATAAACACATTATGATCACTTCATCGCCTGCCAAAAGAAAGATTTATCTGCCTACCGCCAACACAGACATCCATCTGCTTTTTAATAACAACATTCAAAGAGTGCAGCTTATCAAAAAAAGCTTCCTAATGGGCTGATGTTTATCTGATAATACATTAATACACAACAGAGATTTTCAGTAATTGATAGTTCTCAAACATTAGGTTACAATTCATGATTTATGGACTCAAAATGATTCATTGACGCCTAGCAGAAACCACGGCAGAAAAACGAAAGACAAATTTATTCTTCCTGATCTTTATGCTCGTCATACTTTCCGTAGTGACAGTCAGGCCAGTTTTCGCTACAATCCAGGAAGTGGCGTCCACTAATGGCTAGAAAATATTGGACAAAGCTCTTTAAAACCACAGGCGCTTCTCTGACGCGGTGTATGCTTTACCATATTGTGCTAACCACCCAGGATTGAAATTTGAGTCTCATGGCCTCATTCTACCCCCTCATAAACAGCGTGTCACATGGGAAGTGCA